TATATTTCATACCTCATAAGTTTTTTTAATGCTTTAAAGGTTCGGTCCATTTGAGAATAAAAGGTTCAATACAAAGTTAAAAATGGTTAATTTCAAATTAAAAAGGTTAATATGACGGAATAGAGCTATATTCCACATTTCGTCAAAACAGAGGTACGGCAGATTACAGATTTCCTGCATAAAACCCATGTATATCTACAATTTGTAGTTGTTTACGTTACAATTAAACCAAGGTGATTAAAGATTCTACTTCTGGCAATCGAAGAAATGCTAGCTCATTATGACAAGGTGTGGCTTTGGTTAATATTTTGGATAAATGTGAGGCGTTAATGAGCAATCACGAAGGTATGTTGTTTAATCGATGCACCGTATCAATCACACACAAGCTGCGAGAATATGATGAAGATGATGTGGTAAAACCTTCGGAAAAGATGATGCCCAAATCGTTACCGATTTTGCGCCTTTCAAGCTTATGCACTTTCACATCTTGGCTGATTTAAAATGCTTTTTACTATTTTTGTTTGTTTTTTTACTTTTCGAAAACGTCCAGTGGTAAAATCTCATTAAGTTGTTACCTTGTTTGGTTTTAAAAATTAACCTCTCCACATTCATAAATATATACGTCAAATGTTGATTGCTTTTATCTCAGTTTTTTACTTTTTCCGTTAAAGTCGACACACACGAATTTGACGTGATGTATCCGCACGTGGGGTGCCGTCACGCCAGAAAAGCAACAGTTGAATGTTAACACCTCAGCTGACAGCGTTCAAGCTCTTTTGATGCATTACACGAGCACTGTAGACTGAAGTTTTTTTTTCGTTTTCGCATATTCTGTAAACGATATATGATTTAAAGCCACGAAGAAAAATCCTAACGCAAAGTCATTCCAGCCACCATCCAGAAGATAATTTTGTTTTTTAACGTTAACGACCCTAATCGAAGAATGGGTATGATTTTAACGACTTCACCTCACGAAAACCCGATTATCTTAGGGGCACAACTCACCTTTCCCATTTTCCTTTTCCTAAAATCCTATTTAAAGTATTAGGTAATCGCTGAAACTGTAAAATTTAATTTTTTAGTTGTTGAAATAAATCTGTCACGCCCTGGTTAAACTTTTACAATTCCATCACAATTCTCTTTAGAAGAACGATATAAAAAGGAGGCGACGGACTTTGCGAGTTCGGGCATCCCCGAGGCGGTGGCGGAGGATATTAAGTTTCCTGTTACCCTAGGAAACCCAGATTCTGTTTGTGAGGGGGCCGCCTGAATAGAATCCGAACAATAGATTTGTCTATTATCTATTTTTCGATGTGCCCGTTCGATAAATTTTAAGGCTGTGCGAATGACCCCGAAAAAGATTTACTTTACTGTATTTTTGCATCAATTTTTGTTAAATCTTAATTTATAGATTTTCTTAAGGTGATGTTAAAAGACCATCAAATTGATTAGGTGACTTCAGCGTACAAAAAAGCAGATAATTAACATAGCGACTATTACCCCCACATGTCAAAAAATGGATCCATTTCCAAAATTTCACGGGAAAATTTGGTTGAACGATTAAAAAAAAAAATCCTCGGAGGCATTGAAAAACGATATCACTTTGTGTTAAAACCGGTTTTTCATTACAACCGGGCGTCAAGTCAATGTCAAACGGGTTCGTTTAAAGTAGAATGGTTCTATCAATATTTAGCGAGTAAGCGTCTTGTGTTGTATCTTTCCGAACTGTTTAGGCTGATCCCAGGGGCGGTCGATTTAACGAACCGGCAACCATGACTGGATACAACACAACCCCTGACCTACAACAACCACCACCTCGACGACGTCCTCGTAAGCCAATTGTTCATCTCTCAACCTAATTGTTTGATTATGTTTAAAAAAAAATCAATTCACAAATTGAAATTCAAACTGGAAAGAAGTGTGTTTTGGTGAAAATAGCTACATATGTTAGAGGCTGAATTAGTTGTCGATAGTACCCGGGTCTAATTTTAATGGACAAAACGTACAAGACTGATTTTAGAAAACAAATAAACAACACAGGAGAGACTAGGTTACGCAGTGTTAGGGTTAGGGCCAAAAACGGATCTGTTTACGTCAAGTTAAGGTTTGGCTTAGGGACGGGTTAGGTTACATATCCATGGTTCAATGTTTTTCCGTGTAGCGAGTATGCAAGTGCAAAGCTTTTTCTTAATTTTTGTCCTGGGATACATCCACATAGAACCGAGTATCTTTGTAACCCTTTGTTGGATAAATTAAGGTATAAAATAGTTTAAAGCCAGAAACACACTTACCCGATGCTACCCGACGCCTTGCGTTTGGGTGGGGAGTGCACATCTATCCGACGCAAGCACACGTCGCGTACAGTCCACAGCGTTTATCACAATAATCACTATCACAATCGCAACGCATCTTTTGTTCTTAATGCACTATTTTGAGCAAAACCTTGTAATAAATTGTTAGTTAAATTTTATGAGCACAACCATCTAATAAATTGTTTGTTAAACTTAATTGTTTTAAATAAAGTTACTCCTAACCATCATAATTAAACAATGTTTATAAAAACTTATGCATTTTTGATCTCGTTTAATTTGGTTTACATTAAAATAACATGTTGTAATTAATATAACGACAAAATTACATGTACTTAGTTTGAAATAAACTACAAAAAATATGAGTGTCCTGTTCTGATGCTACCCGACATTACAAAATGGTGTAATTTTACGAGCAAAACTATGAAATAAATTGTTAATTAAATTTTATGAGCAAAACCGTGTAATAAATTGTTCCAATTTTAGTATATGTACCGCCGAAGCGAGTACAATAAATTGTTAGTTAAATTCATTATATCAAAAAATCGTATTCCGGTGTTTTGATTAATTTTCTACCAAACCATTAAAATTAATTTTTTAAATAAAAACTAATTAATTTTTAATCACAGTTAATTTGGTTTATATTAAAATAAGTATGTTGTAATTAATATAACGACAATAATACATGTAGTTTGAATAAAAATATGAGTGCTCGGTTCTTTTGTCTTCGACTGTACTCGATGCGACCCGACGAAAATCTGGACAGTGGGGATCGCATAGCATCGGATAGATGTGCACGGGGGTAATGGAACCTTATGGAAAATCGGAGTTTGGATTTGCATCGGGTAGCATTGGGTAGCGTCGCATGGCGTAGCATCGGGTAAGTGTGTTTCTGGCTTAAGGGTGATTGGTGCCCTGACATCTTTTTCGTCTTTTGCTTTTATGCAAGGGTAATTTGGTTATTTCCCCCAATGTCCAACTGTGCTTTAAACCTATCTCAAACTGCTCTTAACTTTACAGCTGGTGAGTTGTCTTTATGTTTATCGACACTGAAGACAGCATTACGTTTATTGTGGTTATTTCAACAACTCTTTAAACGTGTTTAATTTTTGCTAGATTCATGTTCTCTTCCCTCTCGGGATTTTTTTAAGGATAACATTTTTGACCCGTTAAAGCTGAAAACTACTAAGCTGGGATTTTTATTTGTTATAAACTCACTAATTTCGTGGTCCGCTTGACCAATTAATATATTACAATTAATTAAGGTTTTTAGTTGAGATAAAAAGTCAATGGCACGAGCGGGATTCGAACCCACGATCTTCGGCTAGATACGCCGCCGCTCTACCACTTGAGCTATCGTGACCTCGATCCACTCGGACACTAACTTTAACCTTTTAAGAACGGAAATGGGTAGGTTGGGCTGGGATAGGAATGGTCTGGTTGTATCAAGTTAGAGTAAGGTAAGGTTCAATGTCCACTTCCCATATCACCGAACACTTTTTCTAACCCTTTGTCTAATGATCTGCGTTTTTGGCAATTAGGTATGATGCAAAATAAACTACGCAAAAATGAATAGGGTTATTTGAAATGTATTCTTTTTCTTTATAACCTTTATTATTATCTTATTCTAATAGTACCCGAACAGGAGGATTTTGTTGTTTCTTCTAATGTCTGATATTTCCTTAATCCGTCTCAAACTGATCTGAACTTTACTACTGATGAAGTCGTATCGACCTGAAGAGCGCATTATGTAGTATCTCACCAAAGCTTTGAATGCTTGTAAAGCTACTGAACTGGGATATCTTAATACTTTTTAAAAGGATAGTTCCTACTCACAGTAAGTGTCACTACAGTGTGTACTGCGAGTAGGAACTATCCTTTTAAAAAGTATTGAACACCACACTCACTCCATCATTTATCATTTCTATTAATGGGATATCTTATACTTTTTGTCCTTTTCAAGACAGAAATGAGTAGGTTTGGTTAGGTTAAGTCCGGTTACGTCAGGTTAGTGTTAGCGTTATAATATATCCATGATACAGTGTTATTCCGTGCAGTGAGAAACGCGAGTTTTGAACTGGGTCCGCATTTTTTCGTTGAATGCTATTTTTCCTTTTTATTAACAGTCTTGAAATCCAATTAGTCAACATAACCTTTATGTGGAAGGAAAAGTAGCAATACGTCTAATATGCGTAAAACCAGCAGTATTTTTTTTTTAATTTTAGCTACATAGAGAGAGAATTTTTCAGAGAAACGTTATATTGAATCCAGCAGTTTTGTCGGTGATACAAATAGAAAATTAAATATTCATAAAATAAATTATTATCAAAGGTACTCCGGCGGACGATATCTAATAAAAAAGCCTTCCCTGAAGGTTTATAAATTTTAAAATCTTTCTTGTCCTTAACGTTTTGTTTTAAAAAGCATTGTTAAAGATAATAACTATACTTAGCATTGTTAGATGAAATCTTGGTTGACATGTTAAGTCTAATGAAAAATTTTTAAAGTAAAAAACGTTTAGTTGAGCAATCTAATTGTTTATTGAGTTTTTTTTAATGCCAAAATGAAATATTTAATGAACAATAAGTACAGGTGGAAGCTTTCTTAACTTAAAAGTGCATATTGCACTTAAATTCGCAACCAATTTTTTCTCTATGTATTTATAATATGAAGCTTAAAGTTTTAATTTACCTCCTCGGACTTCACAGGTCAAATGGAGATCTGAATCCTCAGTGAGGGGGCCGACACTGTTCACCAACTCCCGTCCAGAGTTGTCGAAGACCAGTAATTGGTGAGGAGGCACTGAAACAAACAGGAAACATTATGTTATTATGTCATCAATTAATTAATATTAATTAATTTAATAGTTTTATTTTAAGTGAAACAAAACACAGTGAAAACGGTCGTCTATTAGGATTAAAAAATTCCTGTCATTGTTCAGATCCTAAAGGTGTCAACTTACAAATTCCCCCTGGTTTTCTCAAAAACTAATCAACCTAGACATAAAATTAAAAAAGTATTTTTCTAAGCATACTCTTTTTTCCAAACATTGAATTTATGGCAGTTTGTTAGAAAAGTTAAACCTATGAACATTTTTTGAAATAACGTTAAAAAACGTGAAAATCGGTTCAGACAATTTGTTTTTAGTTGGGAGTCAGGGACAGAAAATCAGGAATCGAACCCATGACCGAGCGGTCAACGAGCCAAGATTCTGATACCGTAACCACTAGTCTACCTCGACCCCTAAATTTTACTGAAGTACATCATTTCTCTTTTTCTTTTAATTGTATTTCGAATCAATTTTTACGTGGTATTTTATACGATAACCCTTTTACATAAAATTCTAGAATTAAAAAAACAACAAAAAAAAACTTTATTTTTATGTCCGTTACATTTCGTGGTCCGATTGACCAAATAACTTCTTTCAATTAATTAATTTTTATGTAAGGTATTGGTTGAGATAAAAAAATAAATAAATAAACTGGCAAAAAGGAGTGTCCGAGGGGATCGAAGTCATGATAGCTCAAGTAGTAGTGGAGCGGCGTATTTAGCCGAAGGTCGAGGGTTCAAATCCCGCTCGTGACACTGACTTTTTTATCTCAACCAACACTTTATTTTTAGATTTAGTTTTATATAACTTTTAATTTTAATTTATTTTCATATGGTTTTGGTTGGTATAATAATTTTATATTAAAAACAAAATTCCTGAATATACAGGAATTTCACTTTATTTAAAAAAAAAAAAAATGTAAATAAAAAGGGTTCATTCAAAGAAAAAAGAAATACACTTTTCAAAACAACTTTCTTCTTTTAAATTTGTCTTGCCCCTAATCCTTTTTTATACACAATTATAAATTTAATTTGCAGTTAAAGAGGGTTAAGTTGATGTTATAATGTGTAAATTTGATGTTAAAACTGCAAAATTTGAAATTAAAGAGGTTAATTTCAATTTAAAAAAGGTTAATTTGAAAATAAAAAGGGTTAATTTGAAATTAAAAAGAGTTAATTTGACGTTAGAAAGGGGTAATTTGATGTTAAAAAGGGCTACTTTCATGTTAAAAAGTGTTAAGTTGAAATTAAAAAGAGTTAATTTGAAGTTACAAACCGCTAATCACTCGTCTATTTCGACCCCAATTTTTTTATAGTTGAAGTATATTTTGCTTTTCTCTATTTCTTTTGTTGTTGTTTTTTATTTTGCAGACTATGCGTATGTTTATTATGTTTATCCATGAGTGTATACTTTGTATCTTTCTCTTGTTTTATTTGTAAATATAATTTTCTCACGCTTTTTGCCAATATGCTAGATTCAACTCGAGCCATTTGTATTTATGTTTTCAAATGAAGGCACCTACTATTTAAAGTAGGGTCGAAAAATATCTCGTTCTTTAATAAGGTAGAAAGGAAGAGAACAAAGTCCTGTCAATTTGATGTCTTCCCGTTCTGTTGAACCTTCGCCCCCGATGGTGAAATTTAAGGTGCGCCTTGAATCCCTGAGCCGGCCGTTATCACTTTTTACGACCTGTCACGAGCAGATGGTAAGAAACATTAAGAAACGGCTTTCCTTCGGATTGTCTCTCCAAACGGGCTGGCAATTAATCCTCAAAATAGAGCCGAGGAAGTTAACAATAGACAAAGGCTTCCGGTGTCACGTATTCTTGATTTTGAATGAAGCGGGTCGATAGACGTGGATCTGCACCGTCAACTTCCTCAACCCCGTTCTTCAAACTCGTCTCATCCTGTTTTAACTTTGAGATTTTTTGGGACGAACATGGTTTTAGTATTATACACAAATAATGCACGAGTAAACTTTTTCTTTGCGACAAACTGTGACAAAAACATATATGTGCATTTAAACTTTGATTGTGATGTTTAATGGCTATGCTACCAAACAAAATACCGATACTGGTACATTTTTCCGATTTCCGGGTGGAATTGACCATTTTTTATTTCCAAACCTCGAAAAGGACATAATTCGTAAGCTCGTTGAGTACTTTCTGGGATTCCTGTTCGTTTATTTCTTTAGACGTTGCTATAAAATCTTCAAACAGGTTGTATCATTTCCGGGCAGTACAGCCACATAGTACATGTTCAAATGTTTCTGCCTCTTTATGACTGTTCTCGCTTTTTTTCATTTTTTTAGCAAGTAATTGATTGAGCAACAGCCAGTATAAAGACATTAACTCTCGCCTACTGAGGTGTTACCTTTGGCAAGGCTAGGGTTAACATTAAGACGGGTTAGGTTAGAGTTAACGTTGTGGTTAGGAATGAATAAGGTTAGGTAAGGAAATTTTTGGAATCAATGTCTCCATTTTTTCCACTGCGACCTAGACCTCGAAAAAAAGATAAAACCTTAATGCTTTATAGTCATATAAGAATCTTGCAATGTTTCTGCCCCTTGATGGCAAAATTTGCACGAATATGTTTTTTAACCAATTATTATCTTTGATTCTCCTCAACTGTTTGAGTTGTTACCTTAGGTGTGTTTAAGTTTATAGTAAGGGGCGGGTTAGATTAGAGTTGGGGTTAGGGAAAAGTTATAGTTTCATATCAGTAAGGTAAGGTGTTTTTGCAATCGACGTCTCCCTTCCTTCCACTGAGACCTAAAAAACTATTGTGAAATTGACACTTGTTAAAAAACAACAACCGAAAAGTACTACTAAGTAGCTTTTTGCCACATAAGACATGTTCCGCTGTTTCTGCCTCTTTTTTACAAAATGTACACGTTTTGTCTCTGTTAATATCGTTTTTTATCCAGGTTGTAATTAAATGGGCACTGATCAGTATAAATTATTAATTTTTTAAAATACAAATTAATTAAGCTTTTAGAAGAGACCATATGAAAATGATTTAAAATTAAAAAATATATAAAATTAAATAAAGGATTCTTTGTTTAATTTGGGATAAAGTGGTGTAAAATTAAATACAAAAACAAATTATTTTTCTATTAATTGTAGATTTTTTAAAATATAGCAACATTGTCTAATTATTAATAAATATTTGACATTAAAAACAGTTTCGAATTACTAGAAGAATCAGTTGTTTTTACATTTAATTTTAGTTAATTTTCAAATGGCCTCTTCTCAGTTCAATTATTTAAAATTTAAAAAATGTCAGTTTAATTTGGGATAAAGTGGTGTAAAATTAAATACAAAAACAAATTATTTTTCTATTAATTGGAGATTTTTTAAAATATAGCAACATTGTCTAATTATTAATAAATATTTGACATTAAAAACAGTTTCGAATTACTAGAAGAATCAGTTGTTTTTACATTTAATTTTAGTTAATTTTCAAATGGCCTCTTCTCAGTTCAATTATTTAAAATTTAAAAAATGTCAGCTTAAAAGATGAATGCTTTATTTTTATATTGAATTTTAAATAATTTTTAATATTAATCTTAATTAATTTTCATGTGCTATTTTATATGGGAACGATTTTTATATATACATATTTTTTTAAATGATAAAATTAAAAGAAGAATTTTCAATTGTGATAATTTTGTAAATCTTCATACAGTTATTAAGTGCCCAATTATTTTATATTTAAAAAAATCGCGAATATTCAGGAGTTTCACTTTACATGGTTATTTTACAAACTATCTCCTTAGATTTTAAATGAATTAAAAAGGGTTACTTTGCTATTAAAAAAGGTAAGTTAAAATTAAAAAAAGGTTCTTTTGAAGGAAAAAAGCTATATATGGCTTTGGTACATTGTGACTGGGTAAAGATTAATTTTATTTAATTCTTAATTTTAATTGCAATTAATTTTCATACGTTAGCTTATTATTTTATATTAAAAAATTGCAATTATAAGGCATGTTACTTTACATACTTACATTTTAAACCAACTCATAAGTTCATTTAGTAGTTTAAAGAAAGGGTTAATTTGAAATTCAAAAGGATTAATTTGAAGTTAAAAAGTGTTAATTTGGTATAAAAAGGTTAATTTGATGTTAAAAAGTGTTAATTCGACAAAAAAGCTAGATATGTTTTTTTTACATCATGACTGTGTAAAGGCTAATTTTATTTAATTTTTAATTTTAATTGGAATTAATTTTCTTATGGTCTTATAAGAGGACAATTATTTTATATTAAAAAATCGCAATTATACAGTAATGTTATTTTACATAATTAGATTTAATACTAACTCATAAGTTCATTTAATGGTTTAAAGAAAAGTTTAATTTGAAATTAAAAAGAATTAGTTTGAAGTTAAAAAGTGGTAATTTGGTATAAAAAAGGATAATTTGAAGTTAAAAAGTGTTTATTTGAAAATAAAAAAGTTAATTTGATGTTAAAAAGTGTTAATTCGACAAAAAAAGGTATATGTTTTTGGTACATCTAAACTGGGTAAAAAATAATGTTATATAATTTTTAATTTTTATGTACTTTTATAAGAGGTTAATTATTTTCTATTTTAAAAAATTGCAATTTATTTTATACGCTTCAAAGGAAGTGTTAATTTGATATTAAAAAGGATTTATTCGACGTTAAAACCAGTTAAATTAAAATTTTAAAAGAATCAAAATTTGAAGTTAAAAAAAGGTAAATTTGACAGAAAAACTATTATTGTAGTTAATTTTCTCCTAAACTACAGACACGATGCATTGAAAACAATCAAACATTCCATTTGAGAAGATTTTTGATTACACAAAACACAAATTTCTAAGCAATTTCTCCTGCTGTCGTTCATCGTCCAATGTTGAATTTTCCCTGGGATCACACCTATCAAAAATGAGTCACAGTTTCTATTTTAATGAACCTAACCAATTCCAGTTTGTTAGGTTAATTGAGAGGCCTTTACTCCCAGCGGCTTAACGAGCACTAAAGGCTCCTCCATAAGTGACAAGGTTCGAGGGTCCTTAACCGTTAGAAGTATTGTCCTTCATTTGGGAAAAACCGGCTGTAAAAACCAGATTTATTCACAAACTTCTATAGGCCTGTCTACGGTTAGTAGACATAATAAAGGCGATAACCGGCTTCCTGTTACATTTATTATTTTTTTCCTCAACCTTATTATTCTGCAGCCGAAGTTCTGCCCTCTTGACAGAATAGAGAAGGAACCAAGTGAAAATTTATTCAATATTTTTCGTCATTGTTTTTCTTCGCTTATCCCAACACATTTTTAATTAAATAGCGGCATGTTTTTAATATTTTAATTAGTCCATTGTATTTAGTGGTCTGATTGACCAAATTACTTATTTCAATTGATTAACATTTTTATGTAAGGTTTTGGTTGAAATGAAAAGTTAGTTTCACGAGCGGGATTCGAACCCACGACCTTCGGCTCAATACGCCGCTGCTCTAACCACTTGAGCACTCGGACACTAACTTACCATCTCAACCCACCTTTCGAATTTTACCTCCTTATTGCCATTTTTCAAAACATAAAAGTTAATTAATCGAAATAAGTAATTTGGCCAATCAGACCACTAAATGCAATGGATGTAATAAGTAAAACGAAGTATAACTTCACTGAGAGCTCTCCGTGGCCACTTCATATGTCGCCGAGAATCCTGTTTACACGACTTTGAAAATGGCAAAAAGAGGGAAAATTCGAACGGTTGTAGGTTGAGATGGAGAGTTGGTGCCCGAGTGGATCGAAGTCACGATAGCTCAAGTGGTAGAGCAGCGGCGTATTGAACAGAAGGTCGTGGGTTCGAATCCCGTTCGTGACATTAACTTTTTCATTTCAACCAAAACCTTACATAAAAATGTTAATTAATTGAAATTTTAATTAATAACAAACAGCTTATTATACAACCTAGTTGCTTAATTTTTAACCTCCGTCTATACACAAAATATATGAATGTTTGTCTCTGTTTTACATCGATTTTTATGTTTATATTGCCTGAATTCTTTCAGATTTTTTGTATTGTTGTGTTCTTCTTTCACGAGACCTGAAACCGAGGATCCACTCATTTTCTCCGTCTTGACAAAAAGCACGGCGTCCATCATCCCTTTTTATTTTTCACTTCTAATGTTAATCAGAAGTCTTTGTAAGGTTTATCTGTTAGCCGCCTTCTTTAAACTTCTTAATTTATTCCGGGCCGGCCCTCCGTTGGCCGGGCTTCTGGCGAAAAATGACAGGAGGGACTCTAATCAGATCTCAACCTTTGGAAAGCTATAACTAAGCGTTTAACTTACCCAGCGGTTTAACCTTTTCTCCGAGACATGGTCTTATCTGGAAGGAAGGGCCTCTTCAAAAAGACCCCCCCTCTAAATTTTTACCGGTTGAATTATTGGCGACATTTATTTATAGGCTTTGGCATATCTTCTCTTTCCCTTAAAGAAACTGTGTTCAACAACGTTTTGAAAGGTAGTTTAAATATTAAACTCGTAAAATATTTAAACAATTTTCTTTTCTATATGGTTTTATGGATGTTTTTTCATAATTTGTCACAAAATAAACGTTTTAATTTTATTCTTAGCATGAATATTTAACTACAGACAAATCGTTATTTCTCAATAAAACACTTAATATGAAAGAAAGTTGTAAAAAAATAAAAAATATTTCGAAAAATTCACTAATTTCGTGGTCCGCTTGACCAATTAATACATTACAATTAAATAAGGTTTTTAGTTGAGATGAAAAAAAGCTAATGGCACGAGCGGGATTCGAACCCTTCCCACTCGAAGGAGGGAAAACTCATAAGGTGGGGTTGAGATAGGAAGTTGATGTCCGAGGGGATCGAGGTCACGATAGCTCAAGTGGTAGAGCAGCGGCCTATATATTCGATGATCGTGGGTTCGAATCCCGCTCGTGCCATTAGCTTTTTTTCATCTCAACTAAAAACCTTAATTTATTTCTAAAAACTTTATTCCTAGTTTAAATTTTTGAAAATATTGAAATGTTAATAAGATGTTACCTCAGCAAGGGCTGCATATACACTGACAGGCAAGAAATTCCACCCAATTAATTTTTTTCATTGCCTCAATAAATGCAAATTCTGCCCTTAATTTGTCTTATTGTTTTTATCAATAAATATTTGTTTATGTTATGATTTAAATTGGGAATATCAATTGGAGGTAAACACACTTCATCCTTAATCCAAAACAAGGATAAAGGATTTTTCTTTGTTTACTTTCTACGGAATTTAAAATCCATTATTTTTAGTGGTCTGATTTACAAATTACTTCTTTCAATTAATTATTCTTTTTATGTAAGGTCTTGGTTGAAATGAAAAAGCTAGTGTCACGAGCGGGATTCGAGCCGAAGAACGTTGGTTCCAATCCCGCCCGTGTCACTAGCTTTTTCATTTTAACCAAGACCTTACATAAAAAGAAGAATTAATTGAAGGAATTTCAAATGTTTATTCGGTCTCATTTGAATTCTGAAACAATAACCTGTTTAGTTTTCACATTTGTTTTCTTAATTTCAATTTTTAAACATAAAAATACCACTTAGTGATGATGATGGACGTTCCATAAGGTATGCGGCTGCTACATCGGAGTTCTCTATGAAATACCGCGAGACGCCGTTCAACGTTTTTCAGAAACTGGGTCCTAACAAAGAAGGCCCGATTCTGGACGCCCTAGGGTAACAGAACCACAGGATGGCCGTTTTTTGATTTTGAAAATTTTGCGAAACCGGCACCTTACTGTTGTTCATGCGATTCATCAGCTCCTGTTAGTTCGAGGTGTCCAAATCTCTGAACTGAACGCACTGTTCGAAGATGATTAAATCAGTAAAGACTGATGGTTTTTCGCCTCGTAAGAGAACCAGAATTGACGAGAACACACGGAGTTGCACGGCTCGTATTTGCTCGAGAGCACAGCCATTGGTCTTTGGACGATTGGTCTGCTGTACTTTTTAAAGATGAGTGTAGATTTTCTCTCCGGTCTCCAGATCAGCGTGAAAGAGTGTGGAGAAGGGGAAATGAAAGTTACGAAGGTTGTAATTTTTTCCAGAGCCAACCTTTTCAACATAGCTCAGTGATGGTGTCAGCGGGAATTTCAATGGACAGTCGCATAGAGTCGGTTGTTGTTCGTAGAGGGTCTTTGACGCCACTCTTTATTTGGATGACTTTTAGGAAAATGTTGAAGAAGAAGGGTTGCCTAGCCTCGATGCAATCAGCGACAATCCTATTCTAATGCACGATAATGCCCGTCCACATGTCCCTCGCATACTCCAAACGTACCTTCATCAGCATAACATCAGGGTCTTAGCCTGGCCAGCCCGTTCTCCAAACTTGAACCTAATCGAACATTTAGGGATAACTTCAAAAGTCGAGTAAGAGCAACGTCCATCACTTCCTGATACACTCCACGATCTTGAAAAGACTCTTCGTGAAAAATGTACTAACCTCCAGCAAGGGGACATTTCCAGACTCGTAGAAAGTATTCCGAGGCGACTTCGAGATGAAATTAAGGCAAGAGGAAGAAATACGCGATATTGAAATATTAATTAAAATTCTCAAACAAAATTAAAACAAATTTTATCTGTCCGTCTTTTTTGTTTCGTTGTCCTTACCAATATCAATTTTTTTCATTTGTAGACAAAGACACAATTAATTAACGTTCAAAAACGTGAAACTTTGATAATATATGAAAATATATACAAAACAATTTATATGACAAGTGAGTGCCAATTTATTATATGACAATTTATCATGATGATGGGGTTATATGACAATCTTTTGCCTTTCAGTGTACATATATTGCAAGTAATCATAATGTATTTTCTAAATTGTCATAAAGATTTTCTTTTCACAATAATAGCCGAAAGGCATTTACACTACCTCCGGTACAGAGAAGTCACCTGGTAATTCCTTAATTTGTTCAACCGGGGTTTTTATTGTACAATTTGTCTTGGGGGGGAGAAGTGTTGATGTTGCTCGGCTGCTTTGGAACTTCTCCAGCTCGTTGGGACCCGTCTTCATACATGCCGCCCCTTTAATCACTAATGAGTTTACCCTAAAGAAAATGAACTGTACAAAGTCAGAAAACTTACAAACATTTTTTTCCTTCTTACGTAAAAATTCAAATAAATCGTTGTTAAACGTAATTTTGCCCTTACGAGTTTTATATTGTGAGTTTATAAGAGTGGATAAGTAGTCCATTAATTACAATCTCTTAAAATAATTTCTTCACTAGGGAGTAAATGGCGTTTTAGGCGTCTTACAGGGTTGTGGGGAAGGGTTAAGGATAAACGTGTTATACTAAACTAAGGCAGGGGCGTCTCAAACTTTCTAGCCAGCGGACCCCCTTTCTCCAAACAAAATCCAGGGTGGACCCCTTTCATTCAAGTATTTGAAATTACATACTTATAGTATATAGTAAATTAAATAATGATAATCTGAATATGAATTAATTGGAAGAGTGAGGTTTTCGCTTGCACAATTTGGACATGTTGGTTTTAACTTTTGATAGCTGGAGACGGATATCTGGATTCAGCATCTGGATAGCTTCGGTATTTAGTTATGGCAACTGTATAGATAGAAAATCTGGATTTCCATGGGTATGTTGTCGCAAATGGAACAAGAACAAGTTTTGCTTTTTCAATGAGTTATTGAAATTTTTTGTTTTCCTGACGGAGTCAAAAATGGGGGTAACTATCGGACTCGAAAGTAGGTTAAGTAGGATTTTAAGGTGGAGTCTGAAGTAATGTCTATCAAAATTCGCAATCATTTGAAGATAGACTGGTTGGCTTTGTCGATACTGGAAACGGTTCAACCACCCATTCATTGGCTGGCAGCATTGTTTCTTAGCTGTTGGGAATTAGTGCTCAAAGGACATCTCAAAACTTCGGAAGTGTTCTTATATTTCATCGATCAACATGCCGTCTTAAAAGATTTTTAATCGGCGTTCCTTTTTTTTAAATTTAATTTAATTTTTTTTAAAATCGTAGTAAGAAGTTCAAGAATTCTTCCTCGATAAAACGATTAGGCCAAATTACCACTTCTCCGTTTTTCAGGAGACTTTCAGTCTTCGTGTCCTCGTACTTCCAGAGCCGGCTTAAAAGCCGAACTGATTGCCCCAAATATTGTTACCGGGGAAATTTTCCGCTTTCTCGACTTGGGATAATTCTTGAGAAAGGAAATGCATTTACTGGAGAGGGTTGGGCTAATTGGGGGTCAAAAGCGTCAATCAAAGGTAGACGTCGATCAAGGCACCCTTCTGAATAGCAGCACCATTTATCTCCCCCTTGGATAATTACTACTGGAGTTAAAGTGAGGATTTACCAGGTGTCCACGCTTCTCTCGGACCCAGCCCTCCTTTAAACCCCACACAATTAACAAATGCCAATGTGGCCAACACCTGGTCTATTTCTCTCTCTCTCTCTCACTCTCTCTCTCTCTCTCTCTCTCTCTCTCTCTCTCTCTCTCTTCCTCTTTAAATTTTTACGTTTTTATTCATAATTAAGCGAATATTGAGGCTATAAAAATATTTTTAGAATGTGAACTTTTTATTGTCATGTGGTATTTTCAATTCATCTCATAACATCACTCTTATAAATACACTCACTCATACGAAACACACAAATACAAAACACGAATTTTGATGGCTATATAGAATAAAAAAATTCTAAAAGCTATTCAGAAAGGTGCCTTGAACGACGTCTACCTTTGATTGACGCTTTTGACCCCCAATTAGCCCAACCCTCTCCAGTAAATGCATTTCCTTTCTAAAGAATTATCCCAAGTCGAGAAAGCGGAAAATTTCCTCGGTAACAATATTTGGGGCAATCAGTTCGGCTTTTAAGCCGGCTCGGGAAGTACGAGGACACAAAAACTGGAAGTCTCCCGAAAAACGGAGAAGTAGTAATTTATCCTAATCGTTTTATCGAGGAAGAATTCTTGAATTTCAATTTACAACGCTTTAAAAAAAATTAAATTAAATTTAAAAAAATAAATAAAAATGGAACGCCGATAAAAATCTTTTAAGTCTAAGAACGTGCTAACATTTTTTTTGTATTCTATTACTTCTAACTCAACATATTACGAAAATTATTT